TCGTCGATCTGCTTTTGTAAATCTCGTGATGGTCGACCGTCAGACTTGCGATAGCGCAACGCATTTTCGACGTTCTTCAAGCATGTTCTCGCTGAATTCGCCACGTCAACTTTTCTGCCTCCTGAACGCTGACCGTGAACATCATCCATGACCAAAGGACAATAAATCGTTCTTCTTAGGTTTCACGCCTACAGACGATCAGTCCTTGGCGATACAGCCGTTGTTTTCAGTTTTAAACATTCTAAACATAAACCCCTTTTACTGAGCAAAATACACATAGAATGAGTATAACTTACAAGGCAGCACTGCTGACATCAGGCGATCACGGATATCGATTTTAGACATTCTAAAGATTACAAACTTACAGTACAGTAAATACGAGTGAAGACTCAGCAGGGATAGTAATTTATTTTTCTCGCACCACCGCTTTACCAACATAGTCAAGTGTTCATCTTTTAAGTGAATGCAAATTGGCGCCCAAATTAGCCCAAACGCCAAAACAGCCTCAAGTACTACAATTATATATGAGGCAGCTTATCCTTTCGTTCAGCAACATGACTATCTCTAACTTTTCAGTTTTTGACCCTCCAAAATACGCGTAATGGGCATTTTTTCTTCCCCTTTTTTGATATCCTTCGTCAAGCATCTGCACATCCTGCCAGTTCTCACTTTCAGATGGTTAGGTATGATGAAAGAAATGCTACGATGCATTTTGGGTAGCTACGACTGATGATGGTCTCAATTCTTCTGAGTTTATAAACGGGTTACACTTCTACACAGAATGAAATGCATAAGACTTTCAAACCCAGATATTACATCCTCATTAATCAACCGTTTGAGAGCTCAGAAAGACCTTCATGACTACCGCAGAACTTCAGGAGTTCGCATTCCACATTACTTCACCCTGTACATGTGATTCCCTGCTTTGGTCATTGCCTGGTTTCGGATAATAGTATATGGGGATTATGGAAAACAATTACATATGTACATCCTAGCCAGTCAATTCTACAACCACTGGAGTTCATCTTACATGTATATCCATAACACTAATCCCGAAGAATGAATATTCGTTCATGCGTTGGTGATCATACTGAAAATAGTACATAACAAGGCTGCGAATGACAAGAAAGATTTCTCAAGCCCATCCACTTCTTTACCTTTAAGAAGGCCAGTGAGACAAACTAAAATGCCGATACTTCTCATCAGTAGATTTTTG